GGTGGTCAGCACCGGGTGGTCAGTGTCAGTGATCAGCACTGAGTGATCAATGTCAGTGGTCAGCACCGGGTGGTCGGCGTCGGTGGTCAGTGCCAGGTGGTCAGCGCCGGGTGATCAATGTCGGTGGTCAGCGCCGGGCAGTCGGTGTCGGTGGTCAGCGCCGGGTGCTCCACAAGCCCAGCGGAGAGCTCGGGCCAGCCCTGCTCTCGCCCTCTGTGCCGCCCGCCCCGCCCCACCCTGCCTCTGGCGCCGGCGCTGACTCCCAGCCGCAGTGGGGCGTCCAGGTGGGCGCCCCTTTGGGCACCTGCAGGCCGCACCCCCGCCGCCCTGGGGCTGTGTCCCTGCGCAGAAGGAAGGGCTGCGGCCGACAGGTCGCTGAGATACGAAGTGAGGGGCAGGGCCTCTGTCCCGTGATCCCGCTCAGTCCAGAGTCCGCCCGTCCTGTCCGTTATCTGGGGGTACGTGAGGGAAACAGTGGGAGCTGGGGGGGCATGCTCCAGACCCTGGGCCTGACCACGGGCGATAAGCCAGCAGGACCTTGCAAGGTGGGCGACGCTCAGGCCAGTGCCCCCGCCAGTGCCCCCGCCGGCACCTGACAGGTTCTGCCGGGCAGTGGCGTGGGAAGGGGTAGTCCAGTTGGCCTGCCGGGGGCGGTGGCCCTTGAACAGGGCCTTGAGAGACAGCACGATTGGGCTGGGCGGCTGAGGGGGCAGAATTCGAGGGCAGAGGTCTGCGACACTGGCCCAGAGCTGTCACGAGGAGAAGAGGGCGGGTCAGGCCACCCGCTTGCACGGTGGCCTCAGGCCGCTCCTGCCCTCCAGACAGGCCATGGTAGTCAGAAAGGAGCGTCGAGACACGGGCACTGCGCCCCGCCTCAAGCAGAGTGCCCGCAGCACCCCGGATCAAGCACGTGTGCCAGTGCGGTGTCTTCTGTCCCCGGGCCACCAGCCAAGGGTGGCGCCCACGGGGGCTGGCCAGGCTCCCTGGCCCCCCGGGTGGGTGGAAATGCTCACGGGAGCCGGCCTGTGGTCAGCAGCGGCCCGGCCTGCTGAAGGGAAGCAGCTCCGAGGGAGGGGGGATGGTGGGGCGGGCAGGACGGGGCTCCAAGCCCAGCGGTCGCGGAGCCCAGGGCCCGGGCGGTGGGGTCCCTGCCCTGGGGGCTTCCTCTGGCCTCTCGGGGACGCCGCCGCCCCCACCCCGGCTGCCCAGCGGCCTCAGCCCCGAGTCTCCGCGCTGGGGCTGTGGGCTCAGACCTCAGTGTGGCCTCAACAGGGGCGCCTGTGCCGGGAGCAGCGGCCAGGCCAGCCGCACCCCACGCCCGCTGGCGCGGCCACCTGCGGCAACTGTGCGAGCTGGCCGCGCACAGTAGGACGCCACCCACCGTGCCGAGCTTGTAGAGGGGCCACAGCCACGTTCTTGTCACAGTATCACGTTATTGTACTTTATTCAGTGGACCCCAGAAATGCGCGGCAGGAAACCGGGTAGCCTGCAGAATGCCCAGAGCGGAGGACGTGGCCGCCGCGCGGGGGGCAGAGGCGGGGCCCGCGCGGGGCTCGGGGAGCCTGGAGGGCCCCCGCCCGCCACAGCCCCTCCCGTCTCCGGTGGCCGAGCACCAGCGCAGGGAGGAAGTCACGGAGTCAGGGCACACGACGGCGAACCCCCACAGAGGGACGGCCAGCAGTTCACACAGCACCACAGGGAGCGCGACAGTCGCTGCGGCCGCAGCTGCCAGACGTGGCGAGTGGACACACCAGGAGCCGTCTGTCCCTGGCCCGGAGCACTGCTCAGCCGCCAGGACGGACACCGGCCCCTGTTCCCCACAGCTGAGCCCGAGAGCCTTGCGCTTTGTGCTAAGGGACGTAGGCCCATCCCAGCAGGACCGGCGACCCCTCCCAGGAGGTCGGGGAGACCGGGCCACGGAGACCGGGCCACGGAGACCGGGCCACGGAGACCGGAAGGCGGCGGAGGCTGGAGGAGGGGCAGGGACGGAGTTTCCGTGCGGGGAGAGGAGCAGGTGGCAGAGCGGTCCGCGGCGGGGGAATGGGCTTAACACCCCTGAACTGACCCCTCAGAAGACGATTCGCGTGGTCAGCTCATGTCCTCTGCATTTCACAGTTAAAAACGTTTTCAAAGGTTAGACGGCTCCTCGGAGTTTTCCTAACCCTTCTGGTCACTCTAAGTCTTCATCCACTCAGCAAACAGGTGCTCGAAAACTGACACAGACGCCTTGGTTTACCCCCCACCCCTGTGCCCGTCACTGCCCCGCCCATTTTTGCCCTTCAAGACCCCGGGGTGGGGGTGGCGGCGGGTCCCTCCTAGCCCAGGCTGCACACGGTCCCCGCTCACTCGGTGTGGCTGTCCACACACCGCAGGCGACTTCTCAGCGCGCGAAGGGCCCTCCGTGTCCACGGCCCAGACCTCGGCCGCCCGCGTGGCGGCGTGTGTCCGGCCGGGCCACGGGGCCTCAGGGCGCCTGCGCGTGACTGCCGAGCAGCCGCCTGATGGCCGCTGACGCTGACCCTCACTCCCATTGTACTGGAAGCGATGTCAGGGAGACCCACACAGCGCCCCAGGGCGAGCGCAGGTGAGGGCAGAGGCCACGCCAGCTGTTTGTTTAAATCAGAGTATTTGTTGGCCATTCATTTACAAAACAGCCTTGCTCCGGGGCTCTGGAACGCCCCCCCCAGGCCGTCTGCGCCCCCCCCAGGCCGTCCACCCCCGCCCTCCCCAGCCCCTCTCTGCAGCCCCTCGGCGCCCCGGGTCTGAGCAGCCGTCCACTGGGGCGTGTGCGCGTGTGCACGTACATACATTCACTCTGCAGCTCCTTTACCCGCTCATCTGTGTGGGCGCCTAGGCTGGCTGGCGCCCTGGCTGTTGTGAGCCGTGCGGCTGCAGACTCCGCCCGCCGGGTCTGTCTGGATCAGTGTTTCCGTGTTCTTCAGCTGGACGCCCAGGGGCTGCACTGCTGGTCACGTGGTATGTGCAGCTTTGGCTTTTCAGTGACTCTCCGTACCGTGCCCACCACTTCACAGTCCCGCCCACAGAGAAAGCTTCTTCTTCTCTATACCCTCATCGACACTTGCTGTTTCTGGTCTTGTTATGGGCTCTTCTCCCTAGGGTGAGGCGATAACCGTGTGGTGGCTTTGATTTGTATTTTCCCGATGGTAGTGATGTTGAACATTTTTTTTCATGTACCTGGGGGCCATCTCTGTCTTTGGAGAAATGTCTGTTTAGGTCTTTTGTGCATTTTTTAATTGGGGTGCAGCCACTGAATTGTATGGCTTCTTTAAACAATTTGGGAATTAACCCTTTGCTAGACATACGATGTGCAAATATTTTCTCCCAGTAGCTCGTTATCCTTTTGTTTCTGTGGTGGTTTCTTTCTCTGTACAAAAGCTTTTTAGTTTGATGTAGT